TAGGCATAATCTCGATGCGATACTCATTTATTATAATAAATCAAAATAAAAATTGCAATTGATATTTGAGCGGTTCATTAATATTTTTCTATTTATCAAATGTCGTCGCCACTAGGTTTAGGTTTTGTACAAAATGAAAAAATTATTTTCCATAATATAAAAAAAGATGGTTAGCAGTAAAAGTTTGTAAATTGAAGTGACAATCCAACTTAATACTTCTTTTTTTTACTAATAAAATATTTTTATTTACATTATAACCTTTAGAAAATCAATATTATTTACTGTAAATGTTCATTACAATTACAAACACACTTGACCCACATAAAATATTTTCCGCCAAGTAAAATTTTATTCACTGACGCTTTTATTAAATTACTTGAGAACGCTTCTTTTGAGGATATGATTCCCTTTCTTTAATTATTTCATTATTAATGTAATCTTGAATTACCATGATCCAATCAGCTTGATCTTCTTCACATGAAGCTTGTAACTTGTAGGTTCTTGACGGAGTTTGAATTTCGAATCTATATTTATCAACCTTGATAACTTTGAAAGTCTTTTCTACTTTAATTCTTTTAAGACTTATTGTATCTTTAAAGCACAATAATGTTCCTTCATGGAATACAAAGTAACGTTTATTATTACGTTTGAGAAATTGTGATTTTTTAAGTAACTTTCCAGCCTTGAGAGCATCCGGGTAATATTTCATCATTTCGGCATGAATAATGTCGAATTCATCTTGGATTATTTCATTTGGTTCCAGCCTACTTCTTCTATAATTTGAAAATAAATGTTATTTTATTAAGATTCATAAATAAGATTTTACAGACAAAGCATTAATACCTTTCTAATAATTGTTGCTCTTCTATTAAACTATTAAGAACCATACTCATAAACATATTCGATTATTCTTAAGTAATTATTGGTTATATACACTAATGGCGGACAAAGTAGCGATCAAATCCAGACTAAATAGCAGTCAAATTTGAATATAATTACTATCAAAACTTATAATATATACTGCGAGGTTTTGAGAGGATTATTTACTACGTATTTCTTATGATTATTAGATTTAGTGAATTAATCGGTTGTTGAAGAAAAACTTTATTAGTTATATCCAAAAGTTTAACCTTATATACATATATATATACAGTAATGAACGGATTATTTATTGCGTTATTTAAACTAAAATGGAAAGTTTGTAGTATTACAGAAAGTAGTTGCAAATTTTGATTGTTAGAACTTCTATTTAAAATGAAATGTTACGCCTGCTCTGCCTAATAGAGATCTGTAGGACATAAATAGTTAGTTCAGGTGATATTTATGTGCGCATGCATGTTGTAAAGATTGAATTTGTACCGGAATGTGTAACTTTCAACCATTTCTATTCGTTTTATTGCTTTATATTCGTTGTGTTTATTTTTGAGAAAGATCAACAAAATAAATAAGAAAAAATATCTTCGCAATGATGGAATGAGATAGTAGCATCATTGTTTGACATTTCAGACTCAATACTGTTCTCACGAGAACAATATAATAACGATTGGTGTTCTAACACTGTTGTTTACGTTCACAGAAACCGATAAAAACAAAAAAAAAAAACTAAATATGAAATAATCGAAATATTT